ATTTGTCTTTATTTCTCTTTATTTTCTCCCTGTTTTTCCCATTTTCCATCCTCACCTCTACTCCTCCCTCCTGTTTTCATCCTCCATCTGTCTCATCTTTTCCTAATTATCTGTTTCTTAAACTCTTTCTCCCTCTGTTTTTTTTTAATTCCCTTATTTTTAATCTCCTGTCCCTCCTTCTCTTCCTCACATGCTTTTCTTCTCCTCCAACCTCCCTTTCTTCCCTCCTTTACCCCTTTTTTTTCTCCTCTCCTCATTTTCCTCTGCCTCCCTCCATCTCTCTCTGTGTCTCTCCAGAACGAGGACCCCGCATGAACAACACCTCCCAGCTGTCCTCCGGACCCACCCTGCTCTCGGGTAGCGGTAAAGGTCCCGGTGGCGTCAGCGTTGGTGGCGGCAGCATCATGGGAGGGGGCATGAGACACAACAGCAGCCACCCTTCCTTCTCCCACTCCTTCCACAACCTGGCCCAGCTGCCGCCGTCCTACGAGTTGGCCATGAAACCTGAGATCAGCCGCTACAGCTCCTTGAAGAGGCTGGGTGAGCTGGGGGGAGACTAAGGGATGTGGGGAAAAGGGGGAACAAGGGAGGTAAACTGGAGAGAGGGAGAGAGGGAGGGGGACTGATTAATTATTCTGGACCACTGAGGGTTTTCATGTGGTGTAACACACTAGCCAGCAGCCATAATCAGTCCCTCCAGGATTTCGTGGCTTTTTTTGGGACCTAAAACGTCAGATTTACGTGTTAAGTGTTGAGTTCTTCTGGCTAAACAGTCGCTGATTACATTTATAAACTTGACTCAAAGGTATAAATTATGTTTAATTTTGATCATGTGGCTATAAAATGCGACACATTGTGTGTTTAAAGGAATTGAGCACCAAACACTGCCTGTAGCTTTGAAAGGCGGCTCTTAAGAAACTTGTAATTTACTCAGTGTGAATGATGGTAGCTGCAGTCAACTAGTTCCAGTGGAGACCCAGGGTCACATTAGATAGATATGTGTATTACAGAACCTCAGGAATATGTCTTAACACTCTCTAATTAATCATTAAATATGGTACTTGTGGTGGAGTTTTGGAACAATGAGCAGGTGATGTAAGTCATGTATTTAGTTATGTTGTTGAAAAAGTATTGATTACACTCTTTTTTTTTTTTTTTCTCGATTGCAATCCATTATAATGTTGTAACTGAGTATTCGATGAGGCCAATCCTTGTAAAACACTGGATTCATTAGGGCATACCTGCCTGGTAAACACCCACATCCTTCAAGCTCTAATATAACCCCGCTGACAGCAACACTACTCCTCGTGACTGGTAAACTGACCTTTATGTCTATAATATTTAATGTCTGCTTACTGTTTGGTTACACACAGCATCTGGTCAGAAACCTAATATTTTGGAACAACTGGCTCGAAGTGGTTCGCTGTTGCATGTTCGTATAAACATCACCCATTTAGCACGCAAACGCCGGCCTTGTACCTGCCAACTAAACTATGAGTCTGTTATTCTCAGGTCTTCTCCCACCACATGACTTCCTTTCCAGGCATTTGTCCTCTCGTGGCCCCGGTTAGTTCGACTTTCACACAGCCCGTTCTCAAGCGAACCTCCATTATGGCAGCAGGCAGGCATGGCCGCCAGGAGATTTGTGACTCAGCTGCGAAGCCAAAGAATCATCTCAGTGTAGTCTGAATGTGTAAACTGTTTCTGCTAAACAGTCATAACAGCACAGTAAACAAACTGCAACAGGAAAAAATGGGGGGGAAAGGATTGAAGGGACTGGAGCAGACGATGGAGAAAGAGGAAGAAATGGTGAGAGGTGGATGACGAGAAGAAAGGAAAAGGGAGAAAGAGGTTGTTTGACCAGAAGAGAAGGAACAGGGGGGGAGGCAGTGAAAGAGCAGATTGGGCAAATAAGGATACGGCGAGAAGAGAAAAAGAGAGATATTCTGGAAGATAGAGATGCAGAGAGGTCGACTGAGCAGCAGGAGAAGAATGAAGGGAGAGGCGGTGGAAAGAAAGGATCGGAGGGAAGGAGAGATGTGGCGATAGGGGGAGGGGCGTTGGCTGCTGGTCTGCAGGGGCCTGGCTGCCTTCGACGGGGAAAATAAAAAAAAAAGACATTTGAGAGGCAGTGGCTGGCAACCTCCCTCTCTCCCTCCCTCCCTCTCTCCCTGCCTTTACCTCTCTCACCCCCTGCGATTGCTGGAGACTGCAGGGGGAGGGGAGTCTCCTCTGCAGGCTGAGTGATGGATGGTTACTACATGGGGATCGTGTGTGTGTGTGTGTGTGCGGCTATACGTTGAAGTGGAAGCAATAATGAGGTGAAAGTCCAGATGAGGCTCGTTATTATTTCGATTCAATCAGAAGGAGGAAAACACCCCGATGTGCAGCGTTTGGAAAAAGACTTCCACTCGTTACACATCAGACCTCCAGAGGTCATCCCACTTCCTTCATCTGTTCCTTTTATGAAACAGCCTCTCTGTCGCATCAGTCGCAGCCGTCCTGGAGCTTTTTATGGTTCAGATCGTCGTGGTTTAAAGGAAATGGCAGCCAGGAACAGATTCTCCTCCCTTCATTCGTTTTGTTTTTGCCATCACTTTCATTCTGTGTAATCACATTTTTCTACCTCTCTCGTCATCTCTCCTTCACAGAATTGCACTCCCTCAAATTTACTACGCACTGCCAATTTCTTTAATGTTTTCTAAAGGTACAGATAACATGGTTGCACGCTGTGACGTCTGTTTCTGCAGGTGTCAGTGTGGCTGTAACTTTTTAATGCAGTTCATCAAGTCTACAAGGAGCCTCAAGTGCGCTTCCTATGGACTTTCTGCAGACATCCAAAGAGTCTGCTTGTTCATCAGTTTGAAAGATAACAGGAGTTTCAATAAAAATAATTGTATGTGTTTAGAGTAAGATGAGTTTAATTTAGGGTCATTGTTAAAAATATAACATGTACAGATGTAGACTTCCAGTTTTATTGGTACATTACATTATAAACCATAAAATTACATTTTCATATTTAAAAAAGTGCAATCATTTATTGGTGTTGTTACATAATGAAGTAAAATGGGTTATGTGATGTTTGTTAGACAAGTTCTACTTACTACTTTGTTGTGAGCGTACATAGACTTTATATAGCTTATATATCTTTATAACCTTATAGGAAAGTTGTGTGTAAGGAAATATCGTATCATGATATTTTCTTTTGTGATATTGTATCGATTCTCAAAAACGGTGTATTAATTTTAGCGTTTAAACCACCAACCACTAGACAGCAGAGTTGTAAACGTAAACTGAGGACGATGATGATGATGTTAGATCTCAGTGGTCGTGTGTTCTTTATATAGAAAACTTTATACGCTTTTCTTAGAATTAGATTTTATTAAAATCAATGTTTCACCTTACTTACAGTATCGCAGTATACATACCATATCACCAGATTCTTTCCAATATACATCCCTGATAGGCCTTTATATAGATATATAGGACAAGCATAGCACATTTTATATTATCGCAGACTTAATTTGATGACGCTGAGCCAAACCGGACAATAAACACACAAGGACATCACTTCCTGTGCTCCAGATGATATTTCTCGGAGTACAGCTACCAGGTGCTGATCACTTCAGCAGAATGAGGTAAAAGCCTCCGTTAGCCAGAGACAGGCTGAATCACTGTTGCACTGAATCAATCGGTGGCACTGAAAGCAGAGGAGTATTTTCACTTCTCTGATTATTAAGTGTGCTTTTTTTAGAAAAAAAAACCACCCTGAATGTCAGTTTTGTTGTTTTGTTGGAACGGTCCTTCAAAAGCAAAGTAAAATGTTGTCATTGTGACACAAAGAGAGGGAGCACAGCCTCTCACCAGCCGTCGTAGGAAACCTGGTCCTTTTGATGTAGTTCCCCATACGCTGCTGCATAAAGGACACTGATAAAGGCTTCTTTGTCTGCGGTCGGCAGCCAGGGAGAGACCTCGAGATAATTTGGCCGTACGGGAAGGGAGTACACAGAGAGAGGAGAGAGAGAGAGACCAAAAGGAGGGAGAGGACATGAGACAAACAGAGGGAGAGAAAGAGGGTGGTAAAAAAAGAGAGACAAAGAAAACCTCGAGAGGAAGAGAAGAGGGGAAAAAGGAAGATGAGGAAGAGGGAATAAGAAAAGGAAGACAGTTTAAAATTTAAAAAAACAAAGGAGTGGAAGAGACAAAGGAACAAACGGAAGGAGAGGAGAAAGGAGGGGAAGAGACCTGACAGAGAGAGAAAAAGGCAAGAGGGGAGGAAGAGGTAGAGAGGTGGCTGGTTAAAGGTCACGTTTAAATTGGCTCTTGGGGAGCTGCTTCCATGGAAATGCTTTGAAGATTAAAGCGGTCTCAGGCTGTAGAGCAGAAAGCACAGAAACGGTGTATTTCACTATTAATGAACCTCGCTAACTGTTCGTCTGCGCTCCCCTCTTCACTCTGTGTGTCTGTTTCTTTATTTTCACGTCGTTTATAGCGACCTGTCTCATTCTTCTGTCTGTTGCTCCTCCTCTCTTTGGCCTTGGCCTTCTCTTTTACCTTTACTCTTTTATGCCTCATGCAATATGCCGCATATCTCTCTTTATTATCACTTTTTCCGTCTTCACTTCCAGTGCTCCTCTAACTCACTTCATACTCAATTCATACCTTTCTTTTTTTATTCTTCTGAAGTATTTCACCTCCTCTCCCTGCCTCACATGTGACAGCTCACTTTCTATTTCTCTTTTTCATTCATCTTTGACATTATCCTTCTCTTCCGTATCACTTTGTTTTCATTTCTACCTCATTTCTGTGTTCCTCTGTCCATTTTTCTCTCTACTTTTATCTTTTATTTCAGTGTTGACCTCAGAAATGTGAGAAAACAATCATACTACAAACTCTATTTAGCTCCATTAGCTTTCCATCATATCGCATGACCTTCATCACCCAGTTGTCGTGGAATTGTAGATGCTCAGACTTACATTTTGTCTGATTTTTTCTTTATCTTTATCATTATATTTAATTTAATCCTTTTGTTTTCAAGAACTTCACAATCATTGACGAGAAATACGCAGA